GCTCATTTTATTCACTTTTGCCTGTCAATACGATTTGTTCTCTTTACGACCGCGCGCACTTCATACTTTACCCGTTCTGCTGCATCGTCACATCTGGAGCAACGCGGTATATTCCTCAATGCGGTCGTTCGTAACAAGATCGCGCATTAATTGGGTTTAACTGACCTCTACGGGCAGCGCGTAAAACGCAATTCGGATTGTTACTCGCAGCATTTGACAACCACTTCCCGATACCGGCCGGTACTTACGGTTCTCTTTGGCGTTGAAGTTTAGCGTTGGTGTTACCAGAAAGACTGTCTACTGAAACCGAAGTGTGGGTCGTGGGCTTGTATCCGACTTAGCCATGGTCGAGCGGGTAATCTACCCATCTTATGGAGGATTGCTAACGTTGTAGCTACAATGCCAGATCCTATTATCGCTCCAATAAGGAAACCCTTATAGAAGGCCCCACCGCGTAATAGTCGCCCATTATGCAACACCTGTATCCCATTCGATATTTCTTCGTAATCAGTTGATAATCTTGGTTCTGTATTTCGACTGGTCTTCGTTACCCGATGCATGGTCGCTTGTCTGAAGAGATTCCCTCTTCGATGGGTCCAAATTCTAAAAATAGACTAAGATAGAAAAGTGACCAAAAGAGAGCAATGATCAATACGACTTCATTATTTTGGAAACATTGGTGTGTTGATGTTGAAAATTGTCTTATACTGCTTCGCTATTTTTAGAGGTGATATTACCCTAATCATCAATCACCTAAAAGAAAACTTTAAATCAGAACTCAACCAATAATAATTACTAGAAAAAAATATATGCAAAGTCTACGCTATATGGTACACGGAAAGTTCGGGTCAGTTAAGGACATGTAAACGCCGTATCTATACAATGTAGCTATAAATAGAAAACTTTCAATGCATTGTGTCACAACGATGTTGCAATACGGACAGAGGATCGAAGTTCGTGCGTGATCTGGCCATTAAGGCTACTTGAGAGTCCAAAACCTGGACAGCTAGGTAGACTGGTTTATCCAATCGAAATACTTGTATTTAAAGTCTCCAAGATGACCACTGAGCAAGGCCAGCCGATAATAATAATAATAATAATAATAACGGAATGATGCTACACGATGCGTTAAAAAAACTACAAATATACAAATAAAATCCCAGCAGGATTGGCGCATTAAGCCAAAGTTTTTTTTTTTAATTGTTTTTTGCACGCATTTCGTTAAATAGGGGTTAAGTCGTAGATTTTACTGGTCCCTGAGGTGTTTTTTTCGCCTGCGTGCTGTTTGTTGCATTAAATGATGTTTTTCGGTATGCACATCGTGCGGTTTGGCGAAGATCGACTATTACCGCCAGAGTTTACTTTGCATATTAGCACAGAGGTTTTTATTTCTTTTTCTCTCCTCTCTTCTCACCTTTTCTATAGCCTGGGGCAGGTGGTCTTCACGAGTAAACCTGAAAAACGCCATTGCAAATGCAACACCTTCGTCATCTTACTGAAGTAAGCATGCGTGGTTATAGAAAATATAGAGGACAAAGAGATTGAGAGGTTCCTACTTGATTTCGCCAACTGTAGTTAGGCCTATATAAATCATGTGAGAATATCGTGTCGAACTGCGCGCGTTGCGGTAAATAGATCAAGCAACAATCTCTACGGAAGCCAGATGAAACCTTATATACGTTCGCTCTTCTAGGTGCGATATGTTTTGCATATTTAGCTCGGTCTTGCATGAGACAGCCCTTACTGGTGTTATTAGTTAGAATTTAGACAAAGCTTGTACCAAAGTTGCGTATTACGCTTGTCTATAGTAGCTTGAAATAGGTATATCAACAGATCACAAATCTATCGAAGTCGACACGGTCGCTTACAAACAAAGAAAATAGCAAACCTATTCGGATGTTGGCCTGCCACAGTGCCACTATACCTTGCTTCAACGATGAGAATTTCTCCGCTTTCCTCTGGCGAAGTCAGCTCGCGATCGTGCGTCCGATCTCAGTCGCCTTATTCAGAACCTTGGGCAGCTTCTTTACAACCTATAGTTCTTCGTCCTAAGCCTTGAAATTAGCTAGGTACGCGGACAATCGCAATCGTTTGTAGATGTTTGATTATAAAACTGTATTTGCGAAAAGTCATAAGCAAAAACGAGGATAGATCATTTCAGAGTCCTCGATCAGTAAATATGGAGGAACGTATAAGCATGTAGTTATGCACACACGCTTCGTAAAAGCCTACGTATGGATAGGTAGCGCTGTACGATAGGCCTAAGAACAGCGATATTTCTGCATATATGACAAACATAAAGTGCGCAGATAGCGGCGGATCTGGAGAGAGAACCCCAGCTTGCCCTGAACGAAGGTTTGTCACGGCAAAATGTAGCTGAAGATCTGTGAGTAGGAAATATGAACAAATTAAGTAGCGAGAACACTGTCAAAGTGTGCATAATACATCTTAATGCATTCTATACCTTGCTATTCACCATACGATTTTACCAGGCCAGATTCTATGTCAGGAGTCAGGATTTATCCAGATATTTTAATGTAAGACTCTTACCAATTTTAAGCAAAGTTCTCATAAGTGCATGTACGCACAAAGTTACCGATATACCTAGAGTTTACACGGCTGTAAAACGCGTTGTTGGTACTGATTAAATCTCATAACTGCTATATTATTGTTGCGGTGAAACTTGCGCCTAAACCGATTTAAATGTGTAGGGAGCCGTACAATCGCAGTATTTAAGCCGATGTGCTCTGACGCGTATCACTGCGCAGAGTGACGCTCGGTCTATTAAGCGTAACGTATGCGGTCGCACAGTTTTTCATTGGCAATTAGGAGTTCAGAGGTTTGAAAGCGGGTCTACCGAAAATACCCATTCGTATTTTTCCGGACTTGTTATCATTTGCGCTAACCCAGTATCTATAGGATTCACCTGCCATGGACTCGAAAACTAACACGTATGCGGCCTAGGAAACACAGCAGATTACAAGCGCGTAAAATATATTCGACGCTAGATTTATTAAGCATTGATTTAGCGTGACGTAATCATCCGCTACTAGGACGAAAATGTATAAACCTGATACTTGGTCACCATGCATTTATTTGTCCATATAGATAAGGTACTATTTACAAAAAAGCCAATTACAAAAAAGTACCATTTGCCGAGCTAAGGAGTGCCCATGAAAAAATTTAGACCTTCATTAGCGTCGTTTTAGCTAATCACAAATAACAAATAAACTGGCACTGTATTACTACCTATCGCTCACAAAGTTCCCGACCTGTTACGGTCGAAGTATTCCTATTATCGACTTTGGAACCTCGATGTCATTTCCTGATTCGACAAACGTTCAACGGCACTCGTATCTCTTGTCGCGCAACTAACCGGCTCCTACAATGAAAAGTATAGACATCGTTTCAGAGATTCATATCTTCGCTACGGTACAAAAGACGAGTGAGATGACACGGATCCGTCACTTATTTGATTGTTACCTGGGCACGCGGTAAACACGTATGCACCCGCGCAGAAAATACCAGTTGCTAAGCTGTGAGCCCCTTCTACATCTATCACCAACTTCCAACGTCTATCACATTCTATGGGAGTTCCTTTGTACATATAACAGCAAACAAATTGTTTGAGTTTTACCTTTGGTACTTCCGTTAGTAATTACTAAAGGCGAATAGGACTAGGAGCAGCCTCGTTATAATGTATGTTTTACTCTTAGATGCTTTGATTTTATAGTAATAGATTGTCGATGTATTATGGTTTACATACGACCGGCATTACCAGGACATAATGTCTGTTTTAAGATGGCCGAATGTGAGGCTTAGCGCTGCCGGCTGAACTTACTCCGGTCGACTACCGCTTATAATTCTAAGTTCCTTTCTCAGCGTTCCCTACGAATCAGCCCTCATCTTTTTTACCAGTACCGTAGGGTGGTAAGAGTAAGTGACTGCCACTGGGTCATCAGGCCAGGGCCACTCTGATCAGGTTCTCCACCTGCCCAGGTGAGCTAGTTTTCCGCACGGAAGTGGGACTCCTCCATGGGTCCTCTAAATTCGTCAAAGCTTCGTTCGTTACGTTACCTAATTGCAGCTGTTCGTAGAGATCTCTTTTGTCAGAGTCTCAGCCTGTACAGTATCGTGGTCGTATGATGAAGGATGTGATGCCTCTCATACTGTTTCCTAGGGATATCATTCCGCTTGCCATGTGCCTCTCTCTATTGTAGCTAAGCGCCGTATGCAGGTCGGCAGCGTGTGGTGTTGTATCTCGCAGGCCACCGCTGCAGAGAACACAGATGTTCGATGAGCTCTTACTAATTTGTGAGGGTAACCTTGAAAGGCCCAGTTATCTTTGAGGATCTGAATTAGGTAGGACGTAAGCTCTACACCGGAACGTGCAATTTTTTTATATTAGGGATGGTGTCTTTCGCTGGTGTTTACTGAACAAAATTAGGTATTGCTTCTTATTCTTATTATCACATCTCAAAATCTAGTTTCGGCATCATCCGTCAGATCCTGCCGGAACGTGCGATTTCCTTTAGCTTTCGGAATCTAGAGAATGAAGCCTGTCAGTATTAGAACCGCATTTGTGTTTACCGTGCGGTACGTCGGGTTAACGCTAAGCGTAAGGTTTTGCTGCGCATTTCGAAATAGTCTTTTGATGTGACCCCCATTGGTTCGGGTAATATTCAAACAAGTGGTCTTTTAGAAAATTTTCACAGAGACCCTAGTCGCCTTTGGGACGGCTTACATGATGTCATTGAAATCTAATCCGTCGCAATGGACGACTACCTACGGCTATTTTGTATATGGTTGTATATCTGAGGTTACACGGTAGATCGTATCTAATACATATTTCGAGCTTCTCGTTTCACATCTTTTCTGTTTTGAGTTATGTGCATTGTATTCATATACATTGAGCTATGTAATACCACCCTATATAGAAAGTACCAACTTCTAAGTATGGTGACGTTGTTTTTTTTCTATATATATCCTTCTGTATATAGTTGACACGGAGAGATGCCACCCGACGCAGCCGTTCCGCTGTCCAGGCAAGGGCACAGTTTGTATCAGTATTCAGTATCTCTGCGATGGGGCTCCGGACTGCCCTGACGGCTATGACGAACATGCCGCCCTATGCACCGCAGGTGAGTGATCGACAGCAGGGAAACTTCCTCAAGAAATGAAGTACTATTGAGCAAACTAAATGCGCTTCAAAGAAACATACTAGCAGCGATTACGAACACATTTCTCCAAGGAAAGGCTTATCTATGCGCTATGTCTATGATAAACTCTACAGAAATGTGTGACAAAATGATGAGTTTCAGTCAGAAAAGAACTTTTAAACTACTTGATTCACACAAGTGTTTCTCACTTATATGTGACCTTATTTAAAGTTTCGGACTTTCAGATAGACATCCGAGGTGAGGCATAGAATTCAATAAATTGTTCGTAATGTTAAATATAATTGCATAATACGCTAAGACTTTTGTGCTAACTAGCCATTCGGAGAGCAGGATTTCTCAAAATACCACGCCATTTCTTTCCTTATTTCTCTCCTACAACTTTTACAACACAATTACTTGCTATTACTTGTATGTGTCTATGTATATATATATATACATATATATATATATATAGATATAGTAAAATTGGAGTTGTTTGATTAAATTGATTTCCAAAGCTTTTGATACTTTGCATTGACATGAGCTTTTAATCCATAATAAAAAGTGAGAAGCACATTTCGGAATAAGGAAGCAGAGCTTTTTTTTCGTGCAACCGTTCTCTTCCGAAGTGCAGTTGTAAAAAAATCTGGATCAGTAAGAGTGCATAACTTCTCCTCTAAGATAACGTCTTTCTGCGTGCAATTCTGATGTACGTACGTGTAGATTTAGCCCCAGATGACGAAACAGTGTGCATGCTTGGTCACATAGCGTACCTATGTAGGAGAGATAAAACTTTAAGTACATGTTTTGATACATAAATGATACACCTTATGGTTTTTATAAGTGAACTGAAGATAAATCTGTGACTGGCACCGTTTGTGGTTGCAAACTTCCTATAGCTTCGTGCTTCTCTCAATTTCACGTATAGGTCTTAAAGCCATAACTCTTGGATTTGATTAGACGGAGCCAAAATTTCATGGTAACGACCTAAGAAATCGGTAGTGTTTTTACTAGTTATACCCGCAACCACGCTGAAAGAGCAATATCCTTCGACAAGCAGGGCCAACGCTGTCAAAAACACAATGCTATGTTTTACACTAGCCAAATGTTTTTACCTACGACATATAATACCATGTGGGATCCTACAGACTTTAGAATGTATCATGAGTAACATAGACGAAGAAATTTCAAAAGGTATAACTAATAGTGCCTAAACAGCCTTAAGGTGATCCATGTGATAGCTAAGTGGGTAACCTATTTGCCTACCAAACTTAGAAACACGTTATAAACTAGGTGTGAGCTGGGGCATAGACACATTTCATATCGTGTTAAGAGCCGGCCATCTGATCAAATGCCTAACAGCAATATCGAACGTAAAACTCGAAATGTAGGGAAAGCCTAAAAGTTCAGACTCAGCTGTTGCAGCAGTAATCGTAGTCTATACCATCAGAGAACATCGCGGCTTTCCTCAAGGTGCTTATATTTGACATAAATCTATTAATTTACAATAGTGAGTTTTGTCCCCGTCGAACGTTTTTTTTGTTGTTAGAAAGAGGCTTCCACGCCTACAATACGACCATCTACATAAAGCTTATAAAATATTGATTTGTGTTAATGTTCTGTAATCCAATAGATTACAGTTGGTTTGGATAGATACTTCCAACCATTGGCCTTCCTGAGTAATACGGGATTGCGTCCAAAAGGAACCTCGCATAAATAAAGCAAGACCTAGGTCCAGCAAGTCGGAGTCAGGAATAATCTTTCTTGGAGAACCTCTGTCTTATAACTGTTCCCCAGTCCATACAAATACTATGTGGCTGTCATCATCGTGCAGAGCGGCAAGGCGCTGCTTCCGGCCGGCATTATGTTACAAAGGCTGTTTGTAGATTACATCCATCTGTCCTACGTAAACTGAGGCAACATTCGCCGACCCGTGCCCTAAGCAGAGATGCTTGCTTCACCCTGGTTGGACATAGTTTACCCAATGACTAAACCCTTAGGAAACATTATCTCGGAGCACAGCTACGACGGAGATGGGGCAACTAGAAACACCTCTGCATTAGCGGACTAAATTAGTTGTTGCGACAGCGACATAACAACAACATGGAGCTACTTCCGCACGAAACTCCGTTTTCGTATACCATCTGTATTGTCAGTGTAGGTAAATAAACAGCCTCTTTAATATATTATGTTACTTAAGCGCTTGCTGCATGTATTGTAGCTAGTATTGCAGAACTTCAACATGTCAAAGGATTTCATCGGCCAGCGTACGGCTCGCCTGCAATCCAGATACACAAAAATATTACAGCAAAATATTTCCCAGCGCGTTTTTCTTCAGCTGTGCTGGTATAGCTTATATTTTCAAGTGTCCTCCAATAGAAATTTATGCATTGATTTACAATGACATGTGGTAAAATATGTAGGGATTCAACAAGAAATAAATTCAACGTCCTGACACTCACCGTACCTTGTGCTTGGCAACTGGCCTTTATACTATACGGTTGAAGCTGCACTTGAAAATAAGGTCCTTTTTTTTCGTGTAAACTGTAAGTGGCCATCCCTTCGTAATCCTTAGGCCCACGCTGTTCTCACTACTCAGACAGGCGCTGTTGAAACAACAGATTTTTTCTGGGCAATGCAAACGTATTATTACAACTATACTGGTTGAGTTATTTCCTGCTTGTCCCCTTATTGATCCTGCCATTACTGCCGCGGCCGATGGACAGAAGATTGTGTTCATGTTAAACAGGACTTGCTCAACTAAAGACGAAAAGCGAAACACTATCTATTCATTGTTTTATTTTTTTTTCTAAGTTTTTATCGTACTTTTGTTTATTAGGCCTTCGTGTAACTAACTCACTCTGTCCAATGTATGATTTGCGCCCATTGTATATAGAGAAATGACAGATTCTAACATTGTTTGGGCCTTTATAGATGCCATTGTAATTGTGGTTAACACCCGCACGTATCTATATCTATGCCCTAGTCAAAAAATGCTCGAGCTAAAATATTGTACTGATTCGATGTAATTCCTTGGGCCACGCTCAAGGTGAATATATCTACCGTAGTAAACACATATCAATAAGGCCATAACGGTTCGTGCTACAGCGAGGACGCCTATTTTCCTGAATTAGTTCATCTCAGTCTTCTTTCATCCGAGAGCAAACCTTCAAGGGTGCGGTCATGTGCAACGCGGCCTAGGTAAAAGCTTTGGGAACGAAGTCATCATCACCATTTAATCCAAGAGAAAGGCAGTGTCCCTCTCGGTACTCACGTTTGTTGAGATATAGAAATGAGATTTTTATATCGTTGGTTCCAGATTAATTTCTAAGATTCAAGAGTACTTGTCAGGAAGTGCACAATGGTGAAATCTATGAATGGAGACATACACCTTTCAAACAGCTGAACTAACCACTCTCATACGTTGTAAGTGAAATTGACGGGATATTAGCTAGAGCATTACATTTGAACTTATAAATAGTTACTTTTTTTTTCTAAAGCTTTACTTTACATACTTATATGGTCGTGTTTTATTGTGGCGTCTTTTGTGTCGTCGATCTGTGTTTACAGCGAAGCGACCGCCAGTTGAAGAAACAGCTTCGTTTATGCAAAGTCTGCTGGCTAGACATGGACCCAATTATCTTGAGAAGCTGTTCGGCCCCAAGGCACGCGGTGCCCTTGCTCCACTTGGCGGCGTTCAACGAGTGGCTGTCGCCCTTTCCGGTTTGTTGAACTTCTACAGAAGTAAAACAGTTAGCGCCCGACAGGGCATTCAGCTAGGGCTAATGAGATAAGTTAGCACTTATAAAAGAACTCTGGTAATACCTGTAAACACGTAAACGTTGAGTTGCGCCATTGTTGGGGATGTGATAAACAAATTTTCGTTACATCGTCTATCTATTGATAGTAATCTATATAAGAACTGAGAGTAAATAACAAGTAATTATCATTTTGAGCATATCAATACGTACTGAGTATGTCTCCAATAACGTTTTAACTATTTTCATGAAGTAGCCTAACAAATATGAGCTCAAAAGCAGAACTTGTCAAAAATAACGGAGTTTCTCAGGCTATAGAAACATACGTTTTTTTTTTGTTTCGCTACGGGGCATCTCACACATTCTTGGGCTAAACGTTATTTAGATAGCTTCGATAAGCTATTTCATACCTTTGAAGCTAGTCGTTGTTGATACATACCTTTCAGTAAAACTCATCACGTTTGTTTCAACTACAGATGCTACTATTCTTGCACTAGCTGACATATAAATGAATAGCTTATTGAACAGCAGCCGCAGAAGTGTAAGACTTTAGCCCATGTCTAACCTGTAACCTATACAAAATGTCACCTGCCGTCTTATATCAGTATGCCCATACCGATTCTTACAGGTTTACCTAGAATAAGCCCTTTTAGTTCATAATGAATGAGATTACCCTCAAGCAACCGATATGTCGCGATGAACTTACTATCGGGATCTGTTTTTAATGCGCCCCAGGTGTATCAAAATGGATCTTTGTAATGGAAATGACGACGAGTCGAGCTTGATCGACCAAGTGTGAACTTATATCAATTTTTGCTATTTCAGAGAGCGAGACTCTGGATGACTTTGGAAAGGCTTTGCATTTGATGCGCGGGGATCTAGAGCATCTTCGTAATGTGTTTATGGCCGTCGAGACGGGAGACACTTCCCTGCTCAGGTAAGTAACCTTACTTAGCTTTCGATAACTAGTTTCTAAAGTTACTTCTAGAATAAATTTACTAGACATGAAACGTTCAAATATCCGTCTTGCCGGGGTGCATTTTCCCATTTTTTAGAAATACATTGAATACAAAGGGCAATTAATCATCTGTGTGTTTAGAGATTAAGATAATTTTAGGAGCTTCAGTAAGCTGCCATTATCTGCACTACATGTGAAAAACCTTTTTCTCTGCAGGAGGCAGGGTCTTCTTTGAAACACTTGGGGGTTATCCAGTCTTCTCGTTAGGTGAAGGTATACAATCTCATCCTGATTACTAACGTCGTAAACTTTGACACAGTAGAACGGCGCTAAACGAGTTAAGGCTCACAGAATTGCGAGTCCGCTAGGCTCGCAGGACTGGAACCCACAATAAGTGCTATTGAGTGAACCTCTACAGGCACTCTGGTCTTGTCGTATCGTACGTAGATTAGTGGTACTTATTGCAGCTAGCAGATGTAAACTATTAACCTTGAGAGCTGCCTATGCAAAATAGGGCATGTTTAACGCGTCCAATGTTTGCTTACTCATCGGGTTGCTACTGTGATTAGATCATAGTCAACTAGATAAAGCACGGTCTGTCACGTGCTCATTACGTAGGATAATGTATGATAACATGCTACTATTACAAATACAGGAGGTTTATCCATAATCGAAGTTTGTATTAACTCTTCCAGGGCTCTGGGCTTCCGTGATTCGGAGCTGATGGATATGAAGTCTTTCCTCGACCGGCTAGCGTCCACCGGATTCATGGAGTAAAAGCACTCCATGAATATGTATTTCCAAGTATGCAGGAGATTGGAGCATGGGCAGCAGCAACATTAACAATCGTATAAACAACAAAAACTTAAGAACAAGAAAACTCGTTGTTTAACCTTTGCTAACTATTTAGCAGAGCAAATTGCTACCTCTAAATAAAAACAATTCAAAAATACTATAAGAATCAACCGATAATTGATAAGATAATACGGCGAAATTCGTAGTTTTCAATTAAACCATATTGAAGATGGTACTATAAGAAATCAGCTCAAAGCTCTAGTATATAGAACAATGTGTAGAGCGGTACCCATGAGAGAGCAGCCGTACACCGGTGATGGAATGAAGACGCGGATTATATAGGTCTATATACGTATATATGATATACATATACATAAAACAGAAGAATTTATATATATGTATAATCTCCTTGGCCACTGAAGAAAAGCCGATTACGCGCTGGCGGTTGAGAAATTGTCGGTCGCCTCGTATACAGCATCCATTTCCTGCCTTTGGTCCATATAGTTTCTATATGATTTTTGTCGCGCCCGTTGTTGCAACGAAGACGACGCTGACAATGACAGCATTATGTGACTTCCCTGTAAGGCACGCCACGATACGCACACCCCCTGAACGCGCGCGTGCCTCTACTAGGCAGGTATGACAGCGAGTTGATGCTTCTAGACCCGCCCAGTCTGTGCTATGAAGCAGTCAGGCAATCCCTACGTACACAGCATCTGTCATCACCATCGCTAACACTCTACCCTATTCATTCGTTGTTTTCTTTACGAAAAAGAAACCAAATCTACGACTCGACTTTCTTTCTACAGTATTAGATAGATGCTGTCCAGCCAGAAGCGCCACTTTAACCTGTTTAATCCCTCTGGCTGGACTGTCTCTTCTAGGGCATATTTGCCCTTGAATGAGCCTGCACGGTAGCCTTGACTCGGTTCGAAACAGCTGGCATTGGGAACTTTCGCGACGAGCTAAGCCAACGGTCTGTAAAATTTTCTGCTAGCGAAAGGATGATCGATAGGATCAGGTGTCGTTAAGCTCCACCGTAACTGATACAGACATAGACAGGCTTTATATATACGGTATATTGTAAACCGAAACACTCCAAAGCGTGTTCGCGTGAAACAGTTGAGCATCCAGTCTGTTCAAGCAAACGTCGCTACATTGTACAGAAGTCCCGCCTGATAAAACGTCTGCCCAGGAAAACGATCATGGGAACCTAAGCCGACAGAGAACGCGGGTAATGGAAGTGAACAAAAGAAGAACGAGCGATACCGCTGACAACAAGAAAGGGCCGATCATGCAATGCGGAAAAAAACACAATGCCACTGCGTTTCCACATGGGTAAATGGTTGCATAGGTTTCTATTAGCTAGCTATGAAATCTATTATTTCTAGCACTATCACTCTTGCTGGCACAGTTTGCTGGACGCATCGGCAACGAGATGATCGTTGAAACGGACACTATCCAAATCATATTATCGTATGTACTAGCAAATAAGAAACCAGAAAGGGGGGAGAAAACACAACGCCCAACTCCGCTGGGTAGAGGAACAAAGGGACTCTGTTTTCTTCGTCGGCGAATTGTGACCTGGTCGTGGTGAGGTCGCCGACAAAGAAACGACGTAGAGTACGTTAGTGCGATGACGGCAGTGATGACGGCAGTGATGGCGGCTGTGCTGTTGTCTCCTTCGTCACAGATATGAGCGTCATCCACTCGAATGCTTTTAATGCAATCACGAAGTGTGAGTCGTTGTCTCAGCAGCGGTAGCAGCAACAACGATCACAACGATAACGACAAGCGTTATAAGTATTAAGCCAGCCGTGGCAGTGCTCGCAGCCCGAGCGTTGTCGCCCCGCTGAGAAACAAGAGTGAGCGCCAAAGCGTACAGTGGTGTAGAAGGACGAAAAAGGACATTCGATGAGCCTTGTTGGCCAAACTAAGCAGGCAGTCGACGCTGGTGTACGCCACCGCTAACTGGAGATGTGGTGACATTCGTTAACGAAGCCGTTGCGTAGGTATACAGAGTCAAGCATAAACAACTGCAGGAGATATTGTATTTTATCAACTCAGAAAGTAATCAAGCTGGTAATGGCAATCAGATTTATTACGGAGAGGATTAAAATGTTGGCATATTTTTTGTGCGTTAATACCGAAAGCAATATGATAGTACATGAAAAAAATCTAAGAATGGAACAGGTAAGAACACGCTAGACACGGAAAAACTCGTTACCACAGTAGATGAACACGTTTTAGGCCATGATTATTCTATTGAAAATAGTATTATATATATAGATACACACAGTCGTATAGCGAGAAATTAGACATAATTCTCGATAATTCAAAGGAAGGGATTGGTAATGTTAAGAAAACTAAATAGGGGGACGTGAAGTAGCGTGAAAAGGGAGAAGAGTAACAATAATGAATAAATATCTAAATGTACCTATTTAAATATGCACAGAAAAGACGAAAGCATCGGGAATATAATTCTGTGCTATATATATATATATATATATATATATATATATACATACATTATTGGTGTGTTCCATAAGACAAGCCGTCAGGAAATTGATGACACAATAAATAAAAACGATTTGATTTTACGAAGCAAATGCCACAAAAATAGAAAGCGGCGGTAGATTTAAAGGACGATATAACAGTGGAGAAAGCATAGAAAATATTCTTGGAAATATACATACAAAGAAGAGGAACAATCACTTATAAATAGTTATTAAAGTAAAATAAATAACAACAAAAACGACAATCCAACCTATATAAAGACATATAAACATATAGAAATATACGTATATATATACACATTATAAAAATATTTAAACTCTGTCTACAAATACAGAAACAAGAGTAGCTCCATCGGCAACAGGCTAAACTAAGATTGCATTATAACATATTGTCGTGAACAATCAAGTAGAGATAGTAAGGACGAATGCATACAATTTTACTGTAGAAAAGATCTAATAATAATAACGGAAGTGATAACTGTTTCTCGAACTTTACCTTGTCCTTTTTTCAGGCTACACTATTCAGAAGCAGTGTCCACATATACACAGCAATAGGCCGGTACATATATGTACCGTTTAGAAACTGAAACTCACAAGGACATCATCAATCTGTGACAATCAGCAAGTTTCAGTTACTCGAAATAGATCAGTTAATCAATCGTATTATTATCAGAGATAGATCGCTAAGATCGATTAATCGGAGACGAAGCTAACAGTAGCTACCGCCTAAGTCGACAGCAACTGCAAGGAACAATTTGACATATAGACAGAATGAGTAGGGAACAACACGTAAAGCTCAACTCGTTTAAGACTAGATCCATTTGGGTGGCGGCGAAAACCAGCCCGACAAAGAAGAATGGAAGTTTCGCTTTGAAGTGCGAGCTATATAAAACGCTGACACAGGAAAGCGATTGTGAAGGCAATACACACAATAAACATCAAAATAGTTAGGTACGTAATATATCTAATATGCACGCCTAGACACGAAGCTGCGCGACAAGTAGGACACAACAGGCTATCTAGGGCATAGGAACACATATGTCAATCTCCTATACAGCAGCCATGATTAGCATACAATGAAAACAAGGAGAATAATACAGGCAGAACACTGTGTTCCTGAAACTATACACTTTAAGCCAATGAGACGCGAATAACGTCAGATTTCACACAATAGAAACACTCATATCGTCACCATTATATTTTCGATATATTAGCAGTGAAAGATCTGCAGGGTATTTTTTGCTATCACATATAGTTAAAGCTCACGCGAACTAGACAGACGAACCTCAGAATGAAGACATGTGACGTTCGACTTCACTACGATGACAGTTCTCTACACGGTTCTCTTCCCTGTTAGGTTTCCACAGGAAACTCATGATGGAACCGTCACAGACCGACAAGAATTTACCGTTAACTACTACCTATTATGAATTCAGTGATTGACGAAACGAGATATGATCTTACGAAGGATAGGCATCCAAGGATGGGCAAGATCGTTTCGAGGCGACGAGCGAAAATCAGGAATGGCTGTCGTCGTGGCTCGTTCATTGCCGCTGACTGCCATTGAAAGCTGTACAGCAATATCGTGTATCGATAATGCCGTCTTAGTTTTAATGGGAACAGCTCACGGGATGATCCCTGATAGCACGAAGATATACATACATATCAGGCATCAATCACTGACATCAGACGATTGATTCCGCAGTGTATGAGCTTACACGAAAGAAAAAAACACTATCTCAAAAAACAACTCATTAACAATATGCTACAACGGTAAGAGTGTTTACCATTACTAAGTGCTACCAAATCAATAGCGAGCGTTTCGAACAGAGTAATTACTGCTTCTATACACTGATTGCATGAACTATGGACCTCCGACTGAAACTTGGCAATCGGATCCTTCTCACCAGCACGATAATGCTCCACATCAGACACGGCTTATATCCAATATCAAACCCATTTGCATTCGATCGGATCTAGTGCAACAGAGCTGAAGATTTGACCCGTAACGCATCCTTCTATAAGGTTGTATCATATATATATATATATATATATATAAAATAATAGATTATCATTAAGCGCATCAACAACTGCAAGAGCTTTGCCCTCATAAACGATAACGAGGAATTTCTCGCTAGTACTTTATGAAATCCTTTCACTAGGAATACTGTTATCAACAGGCAAACTCATATTCATTAAGCGAGATCGTTTACCATATCGAACTCTGCCACAACGACGATAACAGCCAGAGAGCGAGAGATATAATAACACAAACGTGGGAAATGTCGCAAAAACTATCAAAAATAATCGACCATTTCTTCAAAGGACACGTTATCAATATCTGTTGAACAAACACACACAGGTGAACGACAGTAAGGGCCTCAGCCTGAGTATCACAACAGCAAAGGCCATTGCATCATAGGGATGTTCATCAGTGATCCTTGATTAATGATATTCTCTCATTATGATAACAATATTAATAACAATTAATAACTTTGACAAAAAATCAGATATATATATATATATATACTACAAATTACATTATGTAGGACTTCTTCGTCCCATTGTATTCCACGTCTCTTATTATTATGATCATTATCTCTTCATTCTGATCATGTAAAACGGCAATATTTGAATGGCCTATTATTCTACTCACAGACGGATTAGTATTGTACTGTAAATGATGAGGCGGCGCTATATAGACTAAAAACACAGAGATAAAGAAAAGACCGTAAAGAAAAATATAATGTAAGCTTTTCGGCTGAGGGTCACTTCGCACAGTATTTAGGAAACAGTCATTTCGAGGGACTTGGGTATCTTCTTCTGCCAACGAACGTAGCCTACAAGTTGCAGGTAGCTGCCGCCTAACGCGATGGGTTATTTCATTGCTTTGCCAGTAGTGAGTGAGTGAGTGGAACGGAATAAAGTAAGTCAACGAAAAGCAGGTCTATAGGCAGTGGTCCTCAGACAGCGCGATAAAAGCTGATACGCAGAGATGTACCCGATAAACGCTATCGAGAGGACTGAATCGGTGCCGGATGTGCAGATATGTGAACAGGATTTTAGCGGACGTTGGCGAAAACGAAGGCTAGAATTTGAAAGATTGCCAGCGTTTCCGTTGAAGCGACCCTCAGTCGAAGATGCGTACGTACTCACCCCTTATCACGAATTGCAAATAAATTTGACGAAATAGATTCATCGAATACCGCGACACGCAATAACCTATTTTGGTGAGCTAAGCCGTTCGAGTGTAACACGTAGAATGTATAAATACCTACTGGGAGTGATTGTAGCCTGATTTCAACCCACCCAGAACAATTTAGCACCCGCTATAAAGACACTAGAGGAAGAAAAACACCGATTATCATATGTATCCTTCGTTCTCGAATTATACAACAAAAGAGAAATAGACGACGTAATGATATGAATAAAACTTGCGTTCGAACAAATAAATTTATTTTTATCCTTGGCAAAAATGTTTTCATTTGACGCACGTCTGACGAAAGGAACGGGCACCTAGTGCATAGGTTGGTATCTGGCATGGATTATCTGCCGGAAGATAGCTAGCTAGCTAGCTCTGAAGAGATCCACAGATATTGTTTGCTATATAAAGGTAGTTGAGTCCCCTTAATGCTACAAATCTGACTCGCAGCGTGACAGGATACTATGGAAGGGTTACGTTGCTAAAGCGAGCTCAAGCCACTTTGTCGAGGGTCTGCGGCTAACGGTCGGAAGCGAAGCTGACCCACGTTGTTCTCTACGACAGCATCTTTGAGGAGCCAAACGAGATCTGCCTACGAGTAACTTATAGAAAAAAGAGTACTAGCCAAAGAGACATCTTGAATTTGCTGTCTTAAGGCTTTGTTGTGGGCAGTATACGTACTTGTATGTACTTGCACGTACTTCTTTTTTGCTTGTCCATAATGTAAGAACATAGGCGCACGCATCGGTGAACAAAGCATCCATGGAACAGCCAACCAGATTTGCGACGTCATAGCCTGTATCCAGATAAGATGTCAAACGATTCCGACCTATCTTTACAACCCTGTCGTGATGTCGTAAATGTTACACAGGCAATTTTATAGTAGTACTGCTATAAACCTGTCTACCTCTGAAGCACGTCACTATAGATCAGGGACGCATATGGCCGTAATAAAACACCTACATAACCCACTTTTATCGTTAAACATGATTAAATATACAGGTAAAGAAATCCTGATAAAAATTAACTAGACGATAAGGTAAGCAATAAATCTGAACGACTAAGCTATTGAAATTATTATATTATTACTATAATTATATTAAATATGTGAAGGCGAGTGTAATTATCTACTAGGTAGCTCATTTAAGAAGCGAACTCTGGCCGGGTACAATAACATAGGTAATTTTCTTTAGAATATGATTTGCTTCATAGCAGAAATTATAACATGCTCTTTATATAGACTATCGTCGAAATGCGTCAACCGCTCGAGATAATAAGACCGACTTAGTGAACTCTATCCATCCCTAGAGTTTGCAGCACGAGTAGCGTGGAGTGAATTACCAAATTGAGTGTCGCCCTGTCCCGCTGCAAGTCGGCTTGAGCTAGTTCCCGTGCACGCCTATTTTGCAGTCCAGTCATGTTTTTTGCGACAGCCAGTGCTGTTAAAAAACAGGGTATTCTAAACAGATCATAAAAACCAGTTAATGTACCTTTTTTTTATGTAACTTTAGTGTTTAAAAGTCCTGTGAGCCTCTAGCTTTTTTTTTTTTTTTTATCCTAATACTGACCAGAACCCTGTGCTTCTTCTTAGACTGTTTTACGGAGCTTCGGTTGCATAGAGACCGAATCCACACTCTTATACATATTCACTGCAGGAATAAAGTACTCGATTAGAATAAATGAGCCCAGTAGAAAGATAGACGTGTCGTCAATTTTGATCTTCTGATAAATAATGGTATTTTTGTTTACTAAAAAGATGAGCGTTGTACGTGCATCTCGTCCCGCTTGTACACCTTGCACACCCAATTGTATACACGATTAATGCACCGCTTGTTCTTCGGACAAGTTCCCTTAGGTGATAAGGCGGAACGTAACTAATCGAAAAGAAACAATTACTGACTACGATGTTGCAAGGAATAAACAGGCAAAAAGACGTATTCAAGAACCACAGGCGTTGCTTCTACACCTATCTACCAACCAAAGCCATCATTTCCTTAGTACATCACGATCAGTCTAACCACGTATCTATGTAAAAACTTCCAAAAGTTAATATTTTACCTGTATGATATAAGTGTGTTGCAACGCCGGATATAGAGCGAGCAAGTTTTTGAACGTGGTTAATTTTCATTCATAACCTAGACTTTGAGAGACTTGACAAATCGACCAGAAATTAAACCATTTTGAGTACTGACAGTCCAAGACAAAACGTTCCGGATCACGATAGTCACCAGAAATCGCACAGTGAGTACCTTAATAATTCCTGGTTGTCTTTAGAAAGTGAGGTAGATGTTTCACAAGCGCGCTGCAAAAGGCCTTTGTCTTAACGATTCGCCTGATTTCTATTCGAATGCAGAAAAATATGGACGATTAAAAAGAAAGATTTGCAACTCTACAAACAAACACGTTTCAATGGTTTGAAAGAAAAGAGAATTATACGTCCCTAGACAAACATGTACATTTAGAATTAGAAAATAAGCGCACTACGATGTTTTATGTTTTACGTCCGCTAGACGTTATTTCATCGAACGGCTGGCTCTCAGTGGAAAAAGTTGAGTCTTCGTGTATGTTGTCAACTAGCAGAAACGTCAACTAAAATTATGTCGCGTTCATATATCTGCGTAATGATCTTAATAAGTTACTTTTGCTAGCAGATTGCTCCTAATGCTCCTACACCTCTTAACTTGAAATTTCTTAGATGAAGCTTTTTCGATACTAGATAAGGTAAGTTCTTCAGTTTGTTAGAAGCTAAACTCTGTAAACAATATAAATTGTATGATGTAGTGCCAAGATCTATTGGCACAGCGTTTCTTCATCATCGTTTACACTTTGACTTTCGAAAGTTACGATAAATTATTATTAACGACGGGGAGAATTAGATACTTAGCTCTAACCAGTTGCGGCCATATCACAATCGAGCTAAGATAGCTTTTGCTTAGTCACTGCAATAGCATTAGAAAATGCTGTTCTGCAGTCTGCCAGCTTTACAGTGGTGAAATATACTAAGTAACTTGCCTGAAAGACTGACGATTCCTCGGAACAGATAAACTTAATATCTAGCTATGGCAAACGTTTTAGTTTCTAGCACTTGTTTGGTACGAGCGGATACTGAGCTCAAAATTTTCAACAGTACGCTGCATTGAAAAAGCATGTACGATTTCATCTCGCGAAGGTCCCGTTAAACAAAGAAGGTGGACATATATATGTCATTCGAACGTCCTTGTTCTCCTCTGTGCAGGAAGCAGAATGTTACCTCGAATTCTGAACGGGAAATGCACACTTTGGGTGAAAAAAGAAAGCCTGCCTTTTTCAACACCCATCTCACTTCGCTTTTTGCCGGGATCAAAAAGTAACCGGAATATGCAGGCCACCCCGGTTGGCCATGAAAAGCTGAATACTTCAAGTGGAAAAAACTCGCTAGTGTCCAAGGAGACGGGCTGTCGACTTTCGTCAGACATCTTAAGTTATCAAAAGATTAGAGTCCGCTCTGCTACATATTTAGTTAAAAGCTCAAAAGGACACGGCTCTTTTCAACGAACATATCGTTCGGTTCAGAGATGGGAGAGAATCGTTTGCTGTCAGGTCCAAAGCTGCCGTTGTAGTTTGATCAATATAAAAGACTCACGAGATAATTGACATTAAGAAACTGGAAAGAAGATATTATAATCAGCAACACCAAATACGAAAGGTCATTTCACCAGTTCTTACTGATCATTTATTCACTTTTACAACATTACCATTAGACGTAGACGCATGAACTTCGTGAAGTAGGCTCGTCGAGAAAAAAAATCGAAGGCCTTACATTTTTTTCTAAGTGAATCTTTTTTGGGTACTCTGGAGTCATTCGAAGCTGTCGTTTCACAAATCCAATTGCTAGCGTGTTAAAGCTAGGTCAGCAATTTTGAAGGCAATTGCTATCCCCTATGCGTCTGTTGCTCTTAAATACACTTCTGCTTGATCCATGTTAAGTGCTTGTTTCGATTGACGTCTAGCTACCTGTACGGGGTATTCAAAAATTCCACCCTAGTTATAGCTCAGACTCGCTTGCCAACTTGAATAAAGTTAACATCGATTTGTCAAATGAGGGCCTATAGCTTACCCGCTTATGGCGTCAAGGTCGCAGCTACAGACTGAGCTTTCAAAAATTAGGTAGCACTTAATTGGTTTTCTGAATTGATAACGTTCCTTATACCTAGTTTTGCGTGCGGCTAGGTTTTGAATATCATTGCGTTCCGAATCAATAATGTATTCCAATTAGTTTCTATCTTGTGCCTAGCAATGCTGCCAGCCTGGCTACTGTCGCCTAGATGTTTTAAGCTAGCGGCAACAAATCCAGTCAAATTATCATATGCTGAATTTCACTGCTACAGATATCCTCGGAAGCGATGTGCGGCCATGGTAATCCACTGTTGAATATTAAGCTATATCCTAGAAGCACAAACATGTTTGCATCCCAAATCTCCTAACGAACTACGCAAATATCGCTACGTGCCTTTGAGTCCGTAGGTTGTCTCGTGAGGATCCTGTTTGTACCCTGTCAGACGTCGCACATTTGTTACGATCAAACAGAGACAATGCTGCCCCTAATTTGTAGCTAATATTTCACAAATATACACATACATTTAATTTTATCTCCAGCTTTGCACGGCTCCTTTAGATAGAGATCTGCATGATTTCGGATTATGTGATCGGGTTCAGGTATTCGGCAACTGGCTAGATTTTAGTTAGCTTAAACAACGAAGTTTTTGCTCGTCGCTGCCCCAGGCACTATTCCTAAGACGGTGTGACTGGCCTTATTTTTTCAACCAAAATGTTGTTATTTTGCCAGCAATTTGAAAATCATGTGCTAGCTTTCGAGCGTTAGTTATATGTACGATCGACGTTGAAGCGATCTTAAAAGAACCCTCATTTTTTTATATTCTTTTCAACTGACGTCAGATTCATTATATGCCCAATTATTCAGGGAGGCTTTTTGCTGCCTAGTGCACATTCTGACCGCACCTAGCCCACACATAGCTTTCCAACTTCATTATAGTGAGTGCTGAGCGTGTCCTTCATAGGGGTCTCGCGTTCTGATGTTTAAGAACGCTAATATGTTTTCTGGTTTTGGATAGCAGATTCTACAACAGCATACCAAATAAACGTTCAGCGTCAAAGCAGACCCTGGAGGGTTCTTTAAGGGAGAAAACATCTGTAGAAAGTTGTATTCAACAAACTTCTACTCGATTAATGAACTTTAAGAAACTTTGTCGGTTGAGGTAATATCCAGTGAACTTCAAACAGTACCTGTAGGAGTCTTTAAGAAACGGAGCAACCCTGAGAGGCGATTTTTCGTAACTCGAATGGTTCAGTGGGGAAAGTCATCCATCATGCGAAAAGCGTGCTGAAGGTAAATAAGTTGGTGAATCATTTATGAGTTTGTAACGGTAAAACTTAAAGAACGACGAATTAGCCTATCTATAAACCAGCCATAGTTAAAATGTCCAGCTAACACCTTTTTGGCTGTTATTAAAACAAGAACAAACAATGAACTGAAATAGATGAGTTATCGTACATTTTCCTCCATTATATTTATCAATATATACTCGTGTGTATTCATTCCATAAGTACAAACTGTTAGCGCAACCATAAAACATTGTACTGCTGGTCTATGTAAATAACTAAGCGGTACGCATATTGTAAAAGCTAAGCCGATCCGTCGTCTGGAGTGTATTATAGAAAAGCGTGTCCTACAATAACTTGAAGCATGCAGAAAGGCGAAAAAAACTTAACTTGGCATAGGAAATATATGAAATTATAATGCGCGGTTCATATGGCTGACCAAGCACGGATAGTTAGCTGACAGCCGTAATGAAATGGATAACGCTGTCCGGTTAGGCCGCAAGTCTATATTGGGCCTAATGAGACCGTCTCAGTAGCACTGAACACAATGGCGAATTTCTCTGCAACATAGGTCAAGACTGTGGAAAAGAGAGAGCGGCGAGACGACCTAAAAAAAAAAAACTCAGTGGCGGCCATTAGTCAATGCCCGTCCGTCGTTTGCGTCTTATCCGTATAGTATTTTACCGACGAGAAGCCGAAATTGGAAAACGATCGGTTAGCGGTGGCGGCGGTAGATTTTGCCTGTTTGGCTCCTCTCATATGATTTTGTAGGGCCATAGAATCATCGACAGGCTCTTACACACTTGGCCTTGATCTTGTCAGAGAATCCGTATATGATGGGCTTAAGCTGTTTTATACTGCCAGTGTACCAATGAGCAGATTCTTGCCTCTCCATTATCATTGTAAAATTCGACAAACGAAATCAACCAGACGTCGGATCTCTGGTAATAACGTATGCGGGGAAAAACCTTTGGCGAAGCAGTGCGTTTGCGATGTAAATCTCCATTTCTAAACCTACGTTCGATTAGTGCATTGAGAAATTTCTGGGAAGACTTTATTAAAGTCTTCCCATAACCTACATGGGAATAGTGTTCTATTTGAACTTGTTTAGCTTAAGAATAATTTTGCAGTATGCTTCGAGGCGAGCATAAAGATATCCTACATACACAAAGGCCTGTTTGAAGTAAAAAAAAACTTCAAAACCACTTACGAGTAGATAGAACAATATGTAATCGTGTTCTACATTTCTCATGAAGGACTGACGATTTCTCTCTAAGTTGTTTCTATTATTACAAGGCCCGTTAATATCTATTAAAGGTTATATTTCAAAGAGTTGATAGTATTGTTTTACGATGGCCATCAACGAAGTGGACTAAATGCTTTCGAAATAACTCTAATACAGATAGCACTGCGGTCTCCTTTGCCAGTTGACTGATTTTCAATCTACGTATATTATGGAGCCCTTCTAGACAAAGAGTACTGTGCCTCATTACTTATTAAGGCCAAGAAAACTTAGTTCTTTCGAACTCTAATGGATATTGTTCCTGGTATGATATTACCTATGCTATACCCAGTAAAAAGGAAGGCGTCCTCCATGCCTACTCTGACCTCAGTTTACGGTATAGAGATATTACCGGTACTTTGTGGTCTTACTATTACACCGCCAGGTTTAAGGAACACATCGACAGTTCAGACGTTTAACTATATTGTCGCCATTCCTAAAGACGTCAATGAAAAGAGAAAGTTGTCCGTTTTAATGAAAGAAAGCCTCGATAAAATCGACGAAAGCCGAAAATAGAAACATAACCTATTTGCTATAGGGGGTGAAACAGCCTATTTATAAAGTGTTATGTTAACCATCCGCGAGCAATAGCGCTTCTGTTGTCAGCATACAAATATAAACACAAGGCAGGTTTAAAAATACCGTCTAATGGTGGAAGATTAGTTTATCGCAAGACGCGCACATCAAACCAAACACAAGAGACGGTCACTGAACAGATACTTAAGAACGTCTAGACTACCTAAAGCATATGATGTACTGTGTTTCCATCTAAAAATCCCCTTGATAGGTAGCGCAGACTATGAGTAGATAATGAAGCGCCTGGTTTTTTAATTACGAAGGATTATTTAGTACCTAGATTTGTGCGCCTATAATTCGATTCATAGCTTAGTTTCGTATTCAGTTGTTCGATATTATAATAGATCCAATCAGCCTAGTTCAAAGGTCGGAGAAGTCCTCTGAACATGGAGTTGATCGAATTCGATCTACATAGCACAGGTAGGCTGAAAGGCTGTATCTGATAAACAGCCCAGTACTGTAAAGGTCAGAACGTTTACAAAGATAAAAATTTAATTTTTGGAATCCTTGCATGCGACTCAAAAGCTGATCTTTGGGCTACACAACGTTTTACTCGGCCAAAGCCTTAGCGGTGTCCGCCAAGAAAGTGATTTTTAAGGCTGAGTGGTAAATTTCCTGGGTAAGGATATAACTTTCAAATCATAAACTGTTGTAAATCAAACCTTCCGTACGTGGAACCATTGCCCTAACTTTTTAAGAAAAGCTCGTTAAAAAAGGTCAGTGTGCTTTGCCTAGCAAAGTAGGTCTTTGACCTTTGTAAGAGAGTCTTTCAGTTTGTCTGGTTTCTCTGACATGAAACCCCTATGGGTAATTTTCTGCTGGTAGCGTAGTACGATGTGATCGGCCGAAAGGAAGAGGCGTTTCTCTAACAAGTTGCTGTCCACAGAAAAAGTTAACTGAAGATGGAACATAGCCATCCGTCAAGGAATGTATCATTGTTCGCTTGTCTATTCTCATAAGTAAGATAACTTACCGACTGTATATCGTTGCAAGCTCTTGCTCGCTTGTTCTTTCCACCCAGACTTTAATGTTTACCAAGTACTTCTATATGTTGCTATTATTTGTTACACTCCTCAATAATTAATGATTAGCAGGCCGTTAGATGAGCAAAAGGCTATATGTGTAAAAGTGGATTTTCTATATCTTGCTATACATTTTTATGGAATGAAGCGAAAGTCGGATACGTTTTGTGGTTTTTACTGGATTAAGAAACCGGTTGAGACCCTTTTGATTTTTTTTTATCTAACAAAGTTACTTTAACTAGCGCTCGGCACTGTAATATTTTTAACAAAGGTAGAAAAAATAACAGAGCGTATTAGTGTCGTTAGCGTATTAGCGTGTCGTTAGTACTGATTGTTTCAACGTTTCAAGTTTTACGTCTGGTATCGCCGCTAAGCATTTTATCAGAACTACGTGTCTCCGCAAATAGCAAACAAATACGTTACCCACTGAGCGATCACAGTCTCATCTACACTAAACCGTTCATCTTATTCAGAGACGGACAGATTTTAACTTATTAGACATTGTATATATTATTATTAATTTATATCATAAATTAACATATATTAATTAAAAACAATTTTAATGACAGGAAACGTCCATTAAGAGGTTGCTGGCATGTCAGAAATATTATTTTTTAGATGCTTTTACTGTTCATATTTCATGAGTTCGTTTTACGAAGGTTCGTAAAACCTTTTTATATATTATATTTTTTATATAATACATACTTATTACTGCTTGTGGGCAAGGACAGGACTCATCCGTCAACTCTAGCTGCTACAGCGAGCGTTCCACTAAACCGAGTACGATTTTATTCCTTAAACTTAGAGGGTAAGTGATTCTGCACAACTAAGCACTGCAGAGAGGTTTTGCTATTAAAATAGGTGTTATTAAATTGAATAGGCTAGAAGTTACCTTCAAATATAATTAATACCTCTTTCCGTAGAGTTGAATGGACGTACTGAGTGTTACCTAAAAACACAGGGAATAGTCGTAGTTTGGGTTTACGAAACATATTTTTCGTTTACTTTTTGAATTCAGAAACCACTAACCGTCACATTTATTGTTAATTCTCAATACAATTAAGGATCATGACTAATAATGACTTTTTCGGATAAACAAATTACGATCAATCGTAATCGGACCCTTTCTGTTTAGAAGAACTAGCTTGTTGCGAAGGTCCGAATTATATCGGTGAACTAACTTACCACACGTAACTTCTTTTTATAGCTTCATATAGCGCTGCAAGGAAAGCAAATTAAATACCTATTACAAAATTCATCTGCTACCGCCAGTTCTCTATGGGATGGCCCCCAGGGACAGCGTACGGCCTTTCGGGACGAGGCGTCATCTCTAGCTTTCAGGAAAGCGGAGGATCCACTTTTCGCCTAGATGGCTTAATGCAGCCGTTCGTGCCACTGAATAGAGGAGAATATTATAGGTAAAAAAAATAGATCTGCTTTATGGTGGTTTCTAGATCCTAATGTTGCTTAGCTGAAGCTATCTTCAGAGGCAGCTTCATGTCGATTCTGTCAAACTGTACATTTTAAAACCGGCAAAGAAATAAATAAACACAACTCTGAAATTGTCACTTATGCACACACATGCCCATTGCATCTAATTGAACCAGTGTCTGCCAAGCGCAGACGGAATGAAAGGAAAAAAATCAAATGAGAAACGGAGAACGAAAAAAGGTCGTATGGAGGACAAATGTGAAAACGATCGTTGATCGAGAATATTCGATTGCTTCGTTTGGTCTCAACGCAAATTTAACAGAAATCATTACTACATGACCAACTATTAGTAGTTCAAAAAGAATTTGTTTCCATACTGAAATAGAAAGAAGCGTCACACCATCATTTGCCAGCAAGCTGAAGACACGTGTTTTTCTGCAGCTTAATCTTTACCGAATGCGATTTACGTAAAATGTAACATAACCGTACGCAACGAATGTCTTCTTACATAAAATACGTAAGCTCTTCCGTATCGAGTGATATTAATAGCCATATTTAAAAACCGGCACCGAACCACTTTGATGCGGGTTTACATAATGGGTGCAGCTTTGCGCGGGCCGTTCAGTAATACCTTCTAGTTTTTTTTCTCTAGGCGGATGATTTTCGGAACCTTCACTTCAGTCGAACTCAACGTCGACGACTGGACCTTATTCTGCCGAAGCTATGATCGACTAATTGCTCACCTATCGTTTTACCAAGAGCACTCTAATATTCAAGCATATATAAAAGTATTTATGAGAGGAAAATAGATCAGAGTTATTCCTCAGAACAAATCGCCAGGGCAATCGGACGGACACATTTGAATAGCCCGCGGCTAATCAAGCTGCTATGTGTACAATTACCGACAAACAGAACGACGATGACAGCCGGTGCCATGGAGCGGATTTGTTGGCGGACAGATCACACATGCGGAAAACAACCTGCATGAGTCTATAGAGATGTGAAAATGGCAAAAAAATACTGGTGAATTTCGCTTAGGCCAGACAGGTCGAGCTGTCTATAGACAGCAAATCGTAGTGTGGAAACGGCAACGATACTACAATGGGAAACTACAGTTAAAATACATTACTATAATAAAAATTAAATATCTCGCTTAAAAACAGCACGAACGATACAAGCATGGAAGCGTCTGTCCATTACAGATCTATGGATGAACGTAAATAGTCTGTAATTTGTATATAGTGGCAGGCTACGTTAATGCCTGCAGGCGTGTTCATGGTAGAGGATGCGCGTTATTTCTTCGTGAGGCCTAACGCAGTATATATAAAAATATTACGCACACAAAACCGGGGCGCTAAAACGAGAGTGCATCAGAATGATGCTAAATTAGTGGTTGTTCTAGCAACACGGGCGTTGCTCTGTTTGTTTATATAGTCATCATAGGCTATATAGTTTGTATTATTATGACCACAGCATAGTTTAACGCTAATAGTTTATGGTCGTGTTAATACTAGTGCTGTTCCTGCCTGCCCACAGAATCCCAATTAGAAACGTATATAACTGCAAAAACCTTCTTGCCTTCGCTTTTATCTGGTCTGGGCATGTGACGGCCTGATAACTAGGCATGTTTAATCCTGGCTTTTATTCGTGTTCCAGCACGACGCTTTGCCCGCCTCATTCAAGCGCTCTACGTGCACGTTTGTTCAAATATAGCGCGTAAAAACACTCGGCCATTACCGCTGCGATGAACGCTAAGCGCAGTATCTCATTTCGTTAGTGGTAACATTTCAAATAGCCATTGAACGGCTTAGTTAGCAATGAACGTTCAACGAGTCTTTTTGAAGGAGCCTAATATTCAAACAGGATTGATATTCGTGGCTCGTTATTGCTAAGCAATGTTTTTAAAAATCATTTCACTCTGTAACGTGTAATAATATCGTCTTCCTATATACGATAGGCCATTTATATAGCGGGCTTGGCTTTTTAAACTACTTCTTATATATATATATATGCATATATATAAGTTAATGCCAGCATAATATAATTATATTGGCATCAACTACAGATAATTTTTTTTATTTACGCACATATCGATTGTTGATAGTTTAGAACTGCATGACCGTCTGGTCTATAAAACTATTTGCAATCGTCTGAAAATGCTCCGGCGTTGCAATGGTGCCAGTTGAAAAGATTAAATGGGGACTAGTAATAGGAACAGGGACGACGCTTATGGGGGAGCAGACCAGTCTATCTGTAAAATATCAGTAAACAATAGCAGTAACGGAGTACGATCGTCAGTAGGGACTGTTGTGGCGTGTCAGGCTTTATCTACTTAAAATACTTATATAATAATAATATAAATAATAAAAAAATTGTTATATTTTTTGATATAAAGCAAATGTTGGATGGCCTTAAACGCATAGTCTTCTATCGATCTATTTCCAGCTGTACAGATCACTATACAGGCAATTTAGCAGAAAATATAAGTAAATTTTCATTTTGCGAATCGTTTACGAAATATCATTCTATACTGGCATTGTCAATTTGGAAAATTCTAGGATTATATTGTTCGTTAAATAAAAGCTCGCCGAGCTAAACGTCACGAAAAATTAGTCAATCTAATTGAGCTCAATCTAGTTAATCAAAGCTAGCAATAAACGATTACAAAACACTAATAAAAGGTGTTTAGAATATTTCTCATGGTAGAACCGTGTCCTGCCTGTCATGCCAAGGACTTGCCATCAATGGAGCATTCGTCTCCGATACGAAATAGCCATTTTAGTAATGACATGTTATATCACATTGATAAAGATGCTATGATACTGCGGTTTGGAGACATTTCCAGAATAGAATATAAAGAAGCTTGTAATGGCTGTGCAAACCAACGCAGTTCCATTGATCACGGGGTCCGTTTACGTCTGAAGAATAGAGAGATTTTGAAGGGAGCAAGCGGGAGAGTAAAAGAGTGATTAAACAGGAAAAACAAATGCCGATCCAGCGTACGAAACTTCGTTGTGAAAGCTGACGTTGGATAGTGGCTGATAACACAAACTTACCATGACGCTTCAACCTGACTGAAATAACAGACGCCACGAAAGGTATGATAGTAGTGTAGAAAACGCAAACAGGTTCGAAGTCACCTTTTCCATATGCGGCATAAAAATGAAAAAAAATCAGTTGTAATCGACGAAGACTCATTCGAAGGAGGCCTCTCGTCGTTTTCAAGGAGAACATTCCTGGGATTATGCCGACAAAGGCTACTCACAAAATTACAGCCCTTTACACACACGACCGCTGGCAATATACATTTGCCCCGCAGACAAGCGTAAGTTGTCTTTATTTGCTCTACGTTTATTTCCCACGGGAAATGGCGACGCCAAATAATTTCGATCGATGCAGCAGTGCCTTCGTGATGTGCGCACTCCGCTCAGTAACGTTAACACTTTCTTGACACGCACCAAAAAGAAACAAATGTAAATAAATCGTTTTAGTATCGCAAGCCCGTATCCAACAACGTTCTTTGCCAGCTGCTCTTGAACAAAATGTCTGACTCCGTTGCTCCAGACTGTTTTTTTAACTTCGTGCATGTCTTTCTGAGGCATCTAGCGTCTTCTTGTGTGGTTGAGGCATACTAGAACGCTGCAGGCTCTAAAGGCTCAAAGCTGTGTGTCAACAATGAGTCAGTTTTTTCTGCTTAGCTGGTTAGCATCGGATGATTTCTCAGCTAATGGAAAAAAACAACTCCGTTCATACGCGCATCTGAAAGCGGTATATCCTAAGGATTAGTTTGCACAGACGTCGTGCTTTAGTGACTCCTGCCACGGAGTTTGATGCAGTAAATTACATTTGTTTTTTGCTGGCGCTTTTGTCGTCTGTAGGCAATCTATGGCTACGTCAAACTTTGCTTGTTCCATGGGTGTATACAAACAGCATATGCAAATATCTGCGATGTTCTGTTCCCTTATGCCTCTATAATTAATTGAACGCCTTCTAGCTAGGATTTAAAGCTGTATATTGGCTTTATTTGTCTAAATGTATCCTGCTTTGGATTCTAGTAGTAATTGATTACCCTATGGCAGAAAGGCAACAAATAAAAAAATAAGAAAGGAATCAAACAGGATTGAATCACTTTGTACTTTAGATCGCTATTAGCAGTGATGGGCTTGACAAAAGATGTTAAGTAAAAAATGGTATATAAATTGATCTTATTCGTAGAAATTACAGCGGCTTTGGCTGCTTGCTGTTCAATAGGCCATAATAAGCTATAATAATTGAAATATCAACTCGTTATGATTTATTCATTGATTTATATTAGTTTCTTTGCACAGTAGCAATTCTAGTTTCCCGTCGCCTCCGCAAAATATATGACGATTTACAGTTAGCTATGCGTCCTGACTTATGTAATTCTGACCCGACGCTGCAGTGAGCGGTAGTCTGCATAGTAGCTAGAGTTTCTGTCATATTTCTTAGAAACTTACGTATCAGAGGGACTGCAGCCTCAAGCCTTTAACACGGTCTTCTTCTTCTTTTTTTTTTAAACCCTCGTCACGTCAATTTCTTCGATCGAAGTTTATTGATAACTCTACTAGCTTAATGAATCAGCCGTCAGCTCGTCAGTTAAAGGAGCAACTTAAATATGGTAAGCATCATATGCCCTGACCATAAAGACTACTATTCCTTTTTCAAAACGTAAATTACCACAATCAATCCGGTCAGTTGCTAGGATTCAATCGGCCATGCCCTTAGATTCTAGCGTATCATTATCAATCATTATGCTTGTTATCCATTTGCTTCCTTACGTTAGTCACAGACAAAAAGCTTTTCATAAATTTTCGATAATTGGTCTCTGTAGAGATATAGGAAATGATAAATATAGGCAAATTAGATGTGGACGAGAGCCTTTGTTGGTTGACAGATCAAGCTTTGCTGGGAACAATTTGTGCAGCGATATGTCGGTTCTCTGCTCATTGTTGTGCCTTATCTCTGATTATAGAGGTTATATTGTTTTTACAACTATTGTATATAGAATTTATGACGATAATGGAAAAATTAGACTTTTTCTAGAGCAACGACTAAGCTTTCTCTAATACGATTACCATGTGAGCAACTGCTTATATAAATAAGTTATAATTTATACAAGTAATTATTAACCCTATAGTGTATACACGTTGACTCTTCACACGAGACTTTTAATCTTCTATTTTATCGTCGTTAAACCCTCTGCGCTACTTTGGCTAAAGATCATCGTAGTAACAATGAAATTACCTGATTCTGAACAAGTTCTTGTTACTCGGTACGCGAAGCAAGAATAGGTGGTTAAGGCAATAATTTAAATGCTGCATAGGATTCGAATTGAGGTCTGCTTGGACGCGGGGCTTAGACCAGCCGTTGAAACGACTCTAGATTGAGTTACTTTTTGCGAGAATAGATACCAAACAGCATGTTTACTGACATAGATCCGTGGAGATCGCACCGAGAGATGAGTTGAAGATAGACCCAGCTTAGTCTGACAATTTGCTACTGTAGTCGCGTTATCTGTTTTGAAATTAGAAACGTTTTATCGCCACTGGAATCTGTATTGATACGATGTTAACGTAAATGATACAAAACTTTTTTTCTGTTCTATTGGAAAGTTTTTCTCCTATCTTCGCCTCTTGAATATACCATTTCTATGGCTGTTACAGCTAACGGGTGCCGCGGTGGTAGCAGTACGAAGATTATCAATTGACCAAGCATAAGAAAAAAAATGTATCGATATCTTTTGAACTTATCTTGGCGAAATGCTCTTTACCTTCTATCAAAATAAGCATACTATTGTATGCTCTTATGTCACATCGGCACTCCACCGACAACTAATAGCCTCCTTTCCGCAATTAAAATTTCAGTGAGCGCCCCCCCCCCCCCCCTAGCTCCGTAAGTTACTTTTAGTAACAGAAGTTCGTTAGTCGTCGTTCGAGCGGGACGATCGTACGACGCCCTTCTTCTTTTATGGTTGAGCTCAGCGCAAAAGGTTTACAGTAAATAGAGAGATTGCAATGACTTGCTGAATGTTTATTAGCTCAAGAGTGTTCGGCTTCATTACGAAGTCCGGTCGAAGCGATGTTTCTAAGTTTA